TTCGTTTTTTGCCATATGTGCCATCAACTTGATTAAACACAAACTGAAAGCTCCCTGTGACGGTGACGGTGACGCAAGCAAACAAAAGCTTTAAGTTATCTAATTAGACAATATTTAGGACACTCTTTGATGAAGACAATGATGATTGGATTATATAGGACACTGAAGTGAATAAAATCTTGGGTGCCTGGAGGACATGGTAATGAAGACGACGTCGGAGGCGGAAGTGAGAGAAGATTCAGAGGACTGAATGCTTAGAAGGCCGGAGACCATTGGTGGTGAGGGCAGCGGAGAAGGATGCGTTCTGGTACACTGAGTGACTGTCTGAATTTCGCACTAGTTTGTGGGGATGGAGTGACCCGTTGCTCACTTTAAACATGCGGTATATGGCAGTTCCATCTCTGCAGTTTGCAACCGTTGCAAGTGCTGTGGAGAATTCTGTCTCTACAATTTGCAACTGCAAGTCTGCAACTGCTGTGGAGAGTTCCGTCTCTGAAGTTTGCAACCGCTGCAACTGCTATTGAAAGTTCGTGGCTTCGTGCCCATCTGAAGTATTTTTTTTCTTTTTTTTATTTATTTATTTACTTCTTGTTTTTTGTATAGCAAAAAGATAGAATGTAACGAAGTAGTTATAGGATGATTAATTTAAGGGATGATAATGAATTTAAAGTGTGTGTGTGTTTTCATCTAGTGGTTCATAATTGTCATTGTTGTGATGGGTGCATATATTGTTTGCAATGGATAATTTTGTTTTTCAACTTGTAAATGATTTATAAATAGTAACATATTTACGAATTTGACCCTATTTTTGTGAGCAGTTATCGTGTGCTTTATGTATGAAATGAGGGCATTCTTGGCATTTTCCGAATGCTTCACCAAACTGGCCTTCTCCCTTTATATATATATATATATATATATATATATATATATATAAATAAAAAATTATTAGGACGGTTCAATTCGGGTCGCTTTATCTAAAATTAAATATAAATAATGTTAAGCAGATTAAACAAGAAAGACTCCTCGTATACAACAATCATTATTTAATTAACTAGTTTTTTTAATTATTAGTTTATTAAATAATGAACAAAATTTAAAAATAGGATTAATTCAAATGATGTGGCTGTCCACATCAAATGCCGCCTAAAGTGGTATGAAAATGTGGTACAAAAACATGATATGAATAGTATTACTCCTAATAAAATTCATCTATTGAAAAAAACTTGCTGTCTTGTTTTTCTTTTTCCTTTTTAGGAAAAGGGATCCTTTGATCTCTTTCATCTAATTCTCATCATCAAATAATTCGGATCTTTGAAAATTGATTAAACGGTTAAAAATACGGACCCATTCTAAAAGTTATAATAACTTTAGCCGTTAGATCAAATTTTAAAAATTTGGATTATTTGATGAGAAAGATTAGGTAGAATGGATCCGAAAAGGATCCCTTTCCCTTTTTTTGAATGATGTTGTCTTGTTTTTCTATTTGATACTTTTAATGTATATCTCCTTTAAAAGTAATCTTAGACGAACTTTAATATTAATTACTAATTATAGAAAAGAGAATACGAAAAACTTCCAGTACTGTTTACTTTAACGAAAAATCACATTTTTACACTAAAAAATCAATTATAGTACTATTCACCTTACTATTTATTTTATTCTTATTATTAAAGCTCAAAGTTTTCAAACCATTTTCATTAGTTTTTTTTTTTTTTAAATGGCTGCGAGTAGAGCTGGTGATTACAAGCTGGAGACTGGGGGCTGAAGTACAGTTCAAAGCGAACGCTGATAAATTGTTTGTACAAAGTCATTAGCAACCAGCACCACGTGTACGTTCCCAAGCCTCTGATACTGTACACCATGTTGCGGTACATGAAGGGGACTGGGAAACTTCTGGCTCTGTGAAGTCTGGAAATACACCAAATGTAATATTATTCACCCTCCTCTATCCTCCTAACCCAAACTGAAATTTTTCTTAGTTAATTCCACTTGCTTGCTACAAAATAAACATGCTAGACTTGAAACCTAGCTAGGGTTTGAGTTACCTCATATGTTTTTTTTTTTTTACATATATAAAATAGAGAATTGGTGGATATTATTAGCACGGTGTAGGATGTAAAGTGTTCACTCTCAAGCCTGAAGATGAAGAGTCTTCTGCTCTCAGGGTCCCCCTCTCCCCCAGCGAACACTTGGAGTTGGAGTAGGATTCTCTATATTGTATTATCATTTCCTTCCCTCTCATCTTCTCACACTTTTCTTTTTGTCTTTTTGTCTATATAATAAATTTAAAACAAAATATTGACGCGGTAACCATTTAAATAGAAGATGAGGGATGTGAAGAGAGATTAGGAGGGGAGGAGATAATCTTACTTCTGAACACTCCCCCATATCAATGTCATTCAAGATATTGATGCCCATCTTCTCAAGGAATAAGCGCCAAGCACAAGGTTTATACATGCATGGAACTTTGAGTATTATAAATATCTTCAAGAATAAAGGCTGGAAGAAGAGCAAGTTATAGTCTTGTTGTTTAGTTCCGACTTGGACTGTCTTTAGTCTTTTGAGCAACTTCTATAATTGAGTGTAATAGCATTTTTATGTTATAGTGTGAATAAGTTTAATCTATTGGTATGTTTATCCTTACATGCAACCGTGGAGTCAAAATTTTCTTATGGGTGGGCTACAATTTTCATGCTTTATACATATGGAATCAAAAATTTTTTTTTTTTGGATTCTACAATACTATGCATAATTCAATACATAAAGGCCAAGAATTAGATCAAAAGAGGGAATGAATAAAACAAAATCTTCGAAGTGAAAACAACTTAAAATATTAATTTGCTTTCTTTTTCATTCTGTTTGTTTTTCCGTTTGTACAATATTTTTCTTTTCACAGTTTACTTATTATTGCCCTTTGTCAGACTATCACTACCACACAAAAAAAAAAAAAAAAAAAAAAAAAAGAACAATGCTTGCCTACTCAAAGATGAGTAAGAACTCCTACTCAAAATTTTTCATGTTCAAATCACTAAAGTTTATGTTTATGAACATAACCGTTCATATTATGAATCACACTATGGAGATCATTTCTGCAAAAATTGAATTAAAATTAAGGTTATTTAGTCAATCTATTCTAGTAAATACATAGACGGTTCGTACTGTTTTCACCAATTTCTTTCCTTTGTTTTTTCATAGTTCAATGACTAAACGATCTTAGTCTAATTGATTTTTTGTAGAGACGATCTTTATAGAGTGATTTCTAATATAAACTGCTCTATTATAAACATGAAGTTCTATGAATTGGCCACAAATAGGTTTGAGTAGGAACTCTTGCTCATCTTTTGAGTAGCCAAATATTGTTCAAAAATGAAACAGTTGCTAATTAATGAACAGTTAAACTTTCTGGTTTAACAAAGAGATTATTTTCTTGTGAAACCATTGGCGACGAAGTCGGGTCAAGGAAAATTAAACGATGCGAACAAGTCCATAACTATGAGAGCACGTTTACGCACTTGGAATTGGAATGAACAATAATCGGATTATGAACGAATCAAAGTGAACGGGAAACGGAAAGATAATGGATTAGTCAAGGAAATTCATTGATGATTAAATTTCTGCTTCATCAGTCTTCACCAATTAGGAGAAGGGAGAGCCAACCCAAGAGACAAAATCATCAGATTGTGAGCAAATTTTGCAATTTCACGGGAAACTACACTTGCTGCCCGACATCGCCAACCCTTTTGATGAAAATTTCTGTGTCCTTATTTTGGCAGGAAGACACTAAGCTAGTGTAAAAGGGGAAAAAAAAACTATCCAAGAAGTTCCTTCACAATACAACAACCGAAAAAAAAATACTGTGAAAAGATGCTGCATCCAGAAAAGAAAAACTTTTCTGAAATTAGGCAGCAATGATTCAGCTTTGATTGATTCCAAATAAGTAACATGAACTCCACATTATTTGTTTGTGTCATAATTTTATTTTGATGACAATAAAACCTCTTCTTTTTTTCTCTCTCTAGGTTACAGGTATGTCAAGATAATATAAACCATGGATTTCTATTAGCTCTAAAGAACCCTTAATTTTATCACTAGTTAAGGTAATATAAACCTTAATTAGTTTTATCAATATATATATAATATATACACACATTTCCTCGTGCCAAATCCAAACAAACGCCTCAATATCGTACAATCATTCACTCCAATAATGCTATGGAGGTAAAGTTGATCAATCATTGATGATATCTCTCATCAAGTTTGCTGGTTTTTGTGGTATTTTTCGTGACCACCTGGGTCTCTTTGATGCTTTAATACAAGATTTTTTGGCATTGTTACTGCTTTGGAAGTGGAACTTAAAGTTATTATTCATGTTATTTATATGGCTTTCGAAAGGGGTTGGCAGCATGCTCTTTAGAATGAGTGTGATTCTTGTTCAGCAATACACCATAGTTTATCGGTTGATTTGACAAATTACTGTACCATTCTCTCTTCCATGCATGTTCAGTTTTCTCACGTTTATGGCAAAGGAAATTAGGTAGTAAATTGTTTAGCAAACTATGATGTTGATCATGTTAGTGTTCATTATTTGTGTGATTCTTATCCGTCATGTGCAATTGCGACTTTTGCTCATAATCTTTCGGGGTTTCCAAATTCTCGTTTCTCTTAGGAGTTGTCTTAATTGATTGTTGTTTCAAATAGTTTTCTACTTCTTGTTAGGGTTACGCTTCATGTCCCCTCTAACTTATTTTATATATATATATATATATATACATATATATATATATTTTTTTTTTCTTCTTCAATGTATTCACAATAATGTCTTGTTCCATGATAATTAATAATGCCAAGTGAAAGTGACATTCTTCTTTTAATTAAAAAAAAAAACAGAAAAAAGTTTTATTCTGGTAGGTGTAGTGGTGATAAAACTTTACGTGGAAGATCCACAGTCACATTGTTATCATTTAACTGTTTAAGTGATCGTGATAATATCCACTTACTGCCTCCGTAACTATAACATGGCTTTATATAAGAAGTGGAAACGTATAGGTTTGTATACGTCTCCTACAATTCCCCAGACTTACACTATCGTTAAGAAAGTGGCTGTGAGTGGAGCTGGTACTTGCAAGCCGGAGACTCTGGATGCTGAGGTAGAGATCAAAGCCAACGCTGATAAGCTGTACAAATTCATCAGCAACCAGCACTATGACTTCCCCAAAGCAGCCTCTGATAAAATACACGATGTTACAGTACATGAAGGTGACTGGGAAACTTCTGGCTCTGTCAAGCTCTGGCAATACACCCTAGGTAATATTACCAACATTCCTCTCTCCTCCTGACTAATCAAACTAACAATTAATTTTGTAAACCTTAGAGAAAAGCAATGGGTGTAACAACATGACACTAGCTGTATAATTGTACTTTTCCATGTGACGTGTAGATGGAAATGTCGAGACTTACAAGGACAAGGTGGAAATAGATGAAGCAAACAAGCGGGTGCGTCTTACAGCTTTGGAAGGATCACATGTGCTGGACAATTACAAAAGCTTCAGGTTCACTTGCCAGGTCATCACTCCAAATAGTGAAGGAAGTTCTGTGAAAATTACTTTAGAATATGAAAAACTCAACGAGAACGATCCGCCTCCACAGAAGTTCCTCAGCTTGGTGGTCAATGTCATTAAAGATGTTGATGCACATCTTCTCAAGGAATAAGCGCCAAGCACAAGATTTATGCATACATACGACATGGAACATTGAGTAATATTACTATCTTCAGGAATAAAGGCCGGAGAGTTGAGCAAGCTACTTAGCACTGTTGCTTATTTCGGTTTCCGATTTGGTTTGTCTTTAATTCTATGAGCAAGAATAAATTGAGTGTGATATCATTATATTACTGATGTTGTAAACAAGTTCAATCTATTGGCATGCTTATATTTTTCGAGAAGAACTTCGTTTTTTAATTAAAGTTTCAACCGTGTGCTGATAAAAGAGCTTTTAGAAAAGGACAAGGATTGTTTGCCTTTCTATTTTTCGTGCCCCTTCTGTTTTGTGTGATCATTATTAAGTTACGTTAATATTTTATATTATTTTTTTATAAAGATAATAAGACAAAAATGAATAGTAATATAAAATATTGATGTGACTTAACCGTGATTACACAAATAAAAAGATACGGAAGGACATCAAAAGTGAGATGGCAGACAATCTTTGGCCTTTAGAAAAAGCACTTGAAGAGCAAAAGCTATCATCTATCTAAATTATATTTTATAAATAATTTGAAATGATAGTTGGTGATTAAATTATTATAAAAATATTAATTAACATGTTTATTTTTATTAATTTGATGAGTAATGTTATTCATATGATATTTTTGTACCATATTTTCATACCGTCTTAGATGGCATTTGATGTGGACATATTTTTAAATTAGTTCATTATTTAATAAACTATTAATTAAGGAAAACTAATTAATTAAATGATAATTATAATATACGATGAGTCTTTCTTATTCATTTCTTTGGATTTTACAAATTTTTCAAATGATGTGGTTGTCAACATTATATACCATCTAAGATGTTTACGTCAGATACCATCTAAAGTGGTATAGAAATGTGGTAGAAAAATATAATATAAATAACATTACTCTTTTATTAGAGGTGGAATTGACGTCCAACATCCCAGGTGTTTTCTGATAGCATAACCCAATAACGTCAAATCCATTAATTTGATTATTTAATAAATGGCTCCCACAATACACCACTCACGTACCCAACCCAACCAATGTACACAATTTTTATAACAGTAGGTCCCATAATATATAATAAAAAAGAAAAACTAATAAAAATGATTTGAAAATTTTTAATTTTAATGATAATGATAAAATTAAAGGTAAAATGAATAGTAGCATGATTGATCTTTTAGTATAAAAATATGGTTTTTCGTTAAAGTAAACTGTATCGTAGATTTTTTGTTAAAATTCCCTAATAAAAAAAAAATTTGACTCATCATTTGAAGAAAAAAAAATTTAACATTTAACTTCAAATACTCATTTTAGTCATTAAATAAAATTTAACAATTTATAAATGAGTAATGCTAAAGAAATTAATTTTTTAGAGTATATTGTATCAATTATATGTATTTGTTAACGATTAAATTATTATTTAAATGTTGATAAATGTTTATATAGAGCCACAACCCACAAAGTCCTACACATATAGCATGTTTTAGTTATGGAGGCAGTTGTGGATATGATCTGATCATTGAAGAAAATGACGAGTCTGCGGATCTCTGTGGATCTTCATCTTTCACACGGGAGGTTTTATGGCTAGACCGACCAAATTTAATCGCAACAGCGAACTTGATAATGAGACATCAATAATTCAACGATTCAGAAAACTTTAATTAAATTGCGAACCATAAATAAATATGTGGAATTCCTATTACTTCTTTTGTAATCAATCAAAGCTGAATCATTGATGTCTAATTCAGAAAGAGAAGTGTTATTGGCACTCCAAAAGTCATATTCTACACTCATCACAAATGTATTTTTCTTTCCTAATATAGAAATGTTGGAGTGTAGAATAAGATTTTTAGAATGCTACTAACAATTCCCTTCAAAAAAGGTTTTTCTGTTTTGCATGCAACATCTAGACACATGAATATTCTTTGGGATTCTAATTGCGCACGCATATTATCTTTTCAAATATAAAAAATTTGAAGTGCAATTAAATTTTTAGAATGTAAATAAAATTACCTTCTTTTATTGGTTTTTTTTAAGACTCACAAAAATGGTTGTCTTTGTTGTTTGGCAAAGGAATTTCTTGGATATCATCGTATTGTTGTCTTCTTTTTCGCTTGTATTGTTAAAAAATAACTAATTACAAATCGATTTTCATCAAAAGGGTTGTTAACTAAGATATTAATTAATGCTTTTTTTTTTCTTGATGCTGTTTGGGTTTCTCAACCTCGATATATTATTTTGCATTTTATTTCTTCCATGATCATATGTATCTCCATTGTTTAACAACTAAAAATACTATTGGTTCTTTAAAAAAGTACTATGTATTTGATTAAGGCGATTTTATATGCCGATGAGCAACAAAGTGGAGATGGTACACTACACCTTTTATTTTGCATACCATAGTTCATACATTACAATCTCACATATGATATCCCTTCACGTACATTTTTTACAAGGCAACTTACAAAGCAAAACATTTTAATTACTTGTAATCAATCAAAAGGCACGCATTATTAACACAAAGATTATAAACTAACGATGGACGTCACACCGTTTCACCATTGCATTCTTTTCCCTTCCTTAATTTATCATGCCTTGATAAAGTGAGCATCAAGATCCTTGTCGATGCTAACCATCAAATCAACGTATTTGTCCGGACTGCAATATCCTCAGTCAGTTTCTCACATTCAGTCGACAATTTTGCAATGTTGCCTTCGTTCTTTTGAGTGAATTGATAGACTGGCTTGAAGCTCTTGTAATACTGGAAGACATCTCCTTCCAGTCCATTCAGTGTTATGGATTTGTTCTCGTTGTTTGACTACACTTTTTCCTTGAATACTCCAACTTCGTCCCCTATGTATTCACAAGAAAGTGGTCTCTATATTGACCAAGGAACAATAAAGGGAGCGTTTGATAAATAATTTGTTTTAGGTTTTCACAAAAATGAAAATTGAAGTTATTTTTGTCAGTTTTCTAAATTTATATGGTACTCAACAATGCGTTCAAGGCCTGTTCTAAAGAAACTTAAGGGCAGCCTTTTTCTGCTACAATTAAATTATGTAATATTAATTTGAGGTATTCATCCGTTTACCTTTGAACTTGTAAGAATCGATCAATTTCCTCCCCTCAACTTTAATTTTAACCAATTTTTCTTTTTAACTCTCTTAATTAGCTAATTTATACTCTACTGTTAATTTTTTTTAATTTTTCATCGTTTCTTCCATTAAGCAAGTCAAGTACTATCCGCATGACTGGCTTAAAAGGGTAAAAAAATCATTTTACCTACACCTTCTGTCTTCTTTCTTTTCTCCGAACATTCTATTCTTCTTCCTTTTCTCCAAGCCGAGCCCGTGCTCCACCGCCCACCGGCACGATTTTCCCGGCGAACACCAAAAGAAACAGTGGGAGGGATCTGAGCTCGTAGATCCGCGTTCACTACATCCCTTTGTTGCACTACTCGCACCCTACCCTCCGATTCCAGCCGGTACACCTCCCCCATCGCCACCGAGTTACTGAAAAAGATCCGCGCGTACGACTCCGCCACCACCGCTGCCACTCCCGCCTCTCCCAGAGCCACCGGCGCGTGCTCCCGCGAAGACCCGCACCTGAAGTTGGCGCCCCCGATTATGATCGAGTACTTGGACTTTGTCTCTCCCGGATCCACGAAGCGCGTGGAGTAGGAGGCGAGGAGGCCGCATAGCGCGTAAGACCCGAGCTTGGCGATGTGGGGAGAAGACGAGATGGATTTGATCAAAGACTTGCCGAAGAATCTGGGGAGTACACCTCTTCTCCACACACTGTACTGCACCAGATTCCCCTTTCTCTCTCTTCTCTTCTCTCTGCCTGCTTTTCCTTTTCACATTGCTTCTCATTGATGACTCCCAACCACTCCAACACGTTGCCGCTGCTCTCTTCCTTCCTTTCCTTCCCTTGTAAGAAAACAACTACTCCTCTGACACCTCTCTGCGCTTTTTACTCTCAGCGATTTTCCCCAAGTGAGTTTTTCATTTACTGCAAAACCATATTTTATTTTGGGGTTTGGGGGTTTAAAGGGAGGGATTTCCTCTGTTTATTCACAAATTTTATTGAAAAGTTGAGCTCTTTGTGCTTCCGGTGTAATGGGTTCTCTTTCCTTTAAAGGTCTTGTTTGGTAACTTTGGTTACTGAGAAAATGAGCGTTCTCTAACAGAGAAGAATCTGTGGGGAGTACAAAGTGTTGGTGGAGAGAATGGAAGGGGTAGGGAAATGACTTTTTTGCCTTTTAAAGGGTAGTCATGTGGATAGCACATGACCTACTTAGCGGGAGTATAGATAGAAAATTAAAAAAATTGACAATGGGGTGTAAATTAATTAATTATGAGAATTGAGAGGGGAAATTAATCAAAATTAAACTTGAGGGAGGAAATTGGCCAATGCTTATAAGTTCAGATGGTAAATTATGAATACCTCTATTAATTTATCCGATAACTTTAAAAAAAATGTTCTAAAAAATGCTAGGCGTTAGTCGCGCGGTGGACTAGCGTCTAATGTCTAGGTGGCTAGACGGTGTCTAGATGGATTTAGGTAAATTTTTTATATATTTTATTAATTAATTAAATTTACTATATCAAATGTAAATAATTATTGATTGATATGTTATTTTTTATAAAAGAACATACATATATGAATGTTTTATGTACATATATGATATACTTACTTAGGAAAAAAAACAAAATATTATCTAAATAATTTATAATTTATATCAGATACATAGACACACACACACAATATATATCCCAAACTTTTAAAAATATAAAAAGCCCACGTAGTGGGTGGTTTTCATTATTAAAACCATCAAACCGTCCATCTCACCTCTGCACTTTCACATCATCCATCCACCTTGGATGGTTTTCATAATTAAAACCATCAGAGTCCATGGTTTTCATAATTAAAACCATCACCTTTGGACCTTGGATTTGAGATCCCAATTCTCAACTTGCACCACCACATGTTGAACTGTTTAAGTCTCTCTCTCTCTCTCTCTCTCTCTCTCTCTCTCTCTCTTTCTCTCATCTTCACATAGACGAGCTACAAAAAAATTTCGAGGCTCTGCTTCTACATATGAGATCGGAAGTTGTAGATCCTTTGCGAAAATTGCAGCAATTTTGGGATTTGCAAAGAGATTCAAACCGCCTAGACTGCCGCTTAGCACGCCTTATGCGCCCAGCGAGCGCCTAGGCGGCCGCCTATGTCCTCCCCACCTAACTGAACATTTTGGTTTAAATCGAGTCAGAGGTCCACCGTCCAGGGCCTAGGCTGCTGCCTAGGTCGATTTTTAGAACACAGAAAAAATAGTGCTTCAAAGGGTTGCATGAAAAATATTTGTTTATTAAAAAAATTCAGATAAAGGAAATATATAAGACAAACGTACGTAATCACTTTCGGTTCGATTAAGAACATGATTTGGATCAATAATATTAGGGTGTTTTTGCAATATTATACTTTTACATTTTCAAACTACCACATTTTTTTCCTTCTGGATGTATGAAAATTTAGGTATTGCGTTTGTTCTTTTGTTAAGAAGTCATCACCAACTCCCTTGCCCTATTATTTTTATCAAGTAAAAATAACTCCCCATGTTTAAAAGCTATATAATTAACCAGGATGAATGCTGGACAACTGTCGAAAGCAAAACTCAAAATTCATTGTATAATTAACAGCGAGACTAAAGCCTGACGAAGAACATGATTTTCAAAAGTTAAATAAAAAAAAAAAAGATAGCAGAGTAAATCTCCAATGGATTAGAAAGTGAGTCATTAAAATATAGACAGTCCTAAGTAGATTAGTATAGAATATCTTTTGTATTAAAAAAAATTATATAAATGTGTATATATATATATATATAATGTTGAGAATGAATCTCACATTGATGGGAATAAGGACCTTGCATGAACTTATAAGTAAGTTGGGTTACTCCCCTATATTGCCAATTGGTTTTATTGTAGAACCCCAACTTTCTTCATGGTATCAGAGCAGGTTGTCTCACATGTAAAGCTAAATGGCCACGCGCACTCCATGTCACCTCTTTGTGTTGTTCACGTGTTAGGCTTGAAAATTCGTCACACGTGACAGGATGTTTTGAGAATGAATCTCACATTAATGAGATGATGGACCTTATATGGACTTATAAGTAAGTTGATAAAAAAAATATTGAACAAATATTGTAGAGTACACCACATTTTATTTTATAGATGATCGACAACCATAATCTATTACATCACAATGTCTTATATGACATCCTTCGTACATCTTTTACAATACACACAAACCTAATTAAGAAAAGCATTTTATTTAACTAGGTACGCATTGATGAACATATGCTTGCAGCCTGCAGATATGGTTTTTATTCGTTAATTAATTTATTTATGCTCCCAGAAAGTGAGCGTCAAGATCCTGGACGAGTTTAACCATCAAACCGACATATCTATCTGGAGCTTCAACATTCTCATTCAGTTTCTCGTATTCGATCCACAGGTTGGCAATGCAGGTGCTTTCATCTTTTTGAGTGAATTTATAGACACCCTTGAAGCTCTTATAATACTTGAACATTTCTCCTTCCAATCCTTTCAGAGTTGCGGCCTTGTTCTCATCATCTAGCTCCACCTGTTCCTTGAATATCCCGACATGGTCCCCTATATATATGCATGCATGCATTCATGGTTAATTTCAAAACAACAAAATATATAAACTTTCTCACCCTCTCTCATTAGGATCTTGTTTCCACCGTAGCAAAAAGAGGGCAATATGACTTATTTAGGAAACATGTATTTACGCTATAGGGCTCTCATTGTCTAGAGCAAAAATTGAAGCAAGCACTGAAATATATAAGAGGTCATATATGGTAAATACAAGATTTCTACGATTGTTCTATCTCGACCTTGTTTTAGCTACAATAAATCAGAATCCCTGCCAAAAAGCTGTAAACATTGAAACTCATGCTATGAGTGTATGATGATCTGAGCACATCTATTAAGGTATACATACATATAAAGTGAATAATTAAATAGGAAAATTGAAGTAGTGGTACCTAGTTCATATTTCCAAATCTTAATAGAGCCGTGTGTTTCCCAGTCTCCTTCATGCACATCAACTCCTTTGATATGGGTATTAGAAATGTTTGGGATGAGGTGGGCGCTCTTGAACATGTTGTACAACTTGTCAGCTGGTGCCTTAATTTCTATTTCAGTCCCAATTTTACCATGCAGAACCATGTTTATGAGCAATTTTTATGGGTGCTACTGAGCAATTTTAATGGGTGCTACTAAGAAATTATAAGAGAAGAATGTTAAAGGATATGTATAATTTGGGCTCCTACCCTCCTTAAATACAATCGGCTAGAGTCAAATTGCGAGACAAAACTATATGTGTCCGGAACATAATGCGGCACGTCATATATATGTAATATAAGTGGAGGGAAAGTTTTTTTTTTTTTTTCTTTCTTTCAAGTGTTCTTATACTTGCGTATGATATATAGCGTATGTACCCGTGTTCTGGATATTAAAAAAATCTCTCGTAATAATTTAATAGTGGGTAATCCAATTTAAAAACCAAATCATGCAACACGTGATAAAGATTAAGTCGTATATTTTTAAAATCATACTTCTCTGATAATTGGAATCCAATGAAGTAATGATCAGAAGTTCACAATATGCATGGATAGATGAAAGGTTTGCTCATGGTAATGTTAGGGAGACCAAATTTTTAAACTACAATTTTTAAACCAAATGATGTGGAGGCAGATGATTAAATTATTACTTAAATATTAATTAACATATCTATTTTTTATTAATAACATATCATTTAGTTTGCATTCACGCATGTAATAAAGATTAGATTAGTACGATCGCACTAAAAATTTATCCATAAATGTTTTAAAATAAAATGTAATTTATCTGCAAAATGTCTTAAAAAAATAAAAAAAAATTATCTCTTGAATGATCACATCTATTTATTTATTATCATTATTATATTTTTGGATAGATCTATACTTATCGCGTCTGGTTTTTTTGTTAAAAAGCCATCAAATGGGGAGGCAGGGATGAGGCATTAGGTATCCAAAATGTCAGTTTCACACAATCTTACTAAAGTTTATAGATCTTTGAAGACTATCATTGATGATTGATCATCCAACAGGTGCATTATTTATTTTTTAACAAATGGTAATAGTTACATTAAGGGGATGGAGGAGTGTGTTAAATCTTTCAATGAGCTTGGCAAAATAATGTAATTCATCTTCATTTTTTGCAAGAATTGAACTTAAAATCTCTCATTTATAAGTGAAGAGGAATACCACTAGACCGTAATACTAAGAGTAGTTCCATCGGGGAACTGATAGGCCAGCACCCAGCCAAAAAACTACCCCGGCACCCAGGCTATCCACTCCAGCCCAGCATTTTGACCGGCACCCAGCCTAAGCCAAGCAAGAGACCGGCCTAAAATCGACAGAGGAAGGAGACGGCTCATCTGACGCCATGATGATGTCATGGCTATCGTCTCTCTCATCTGGAACCCCATTCGACGCCTGAAACCCCATCAACCCCCTTCCCCTGATAAATCCATATATTCAACACCATGTCCCCTTTCTGAATTGTGATCTTCTTGCAACTCGGATCGTCGTCAATCGGTTCTGTAATTTTTTTTCCGTTTTGTATATTTTTGAATATGTAGGTGTTGATTTTTAGGCGTCTACGGTGTGTGTAGGTCCAGGATGGTAGGTGTCCATGTTCAAAGTAAGGTGGGTTCGACGGTGTGGTGTACAAAGGGAAGAAGAAAATCGGAAAAGTGGGAAGAAGAAGAAGAAGAAGAAGAAGAAGAAGAAGGGTGTCTAGAGTGAAGAAGAAGAAGAAGAAGGGAAGAAGAAGGGAAGAAGAAGTCAAAAATTAAAAAACCAAATTATTATTTTATAATAAAAATTAATAATATTTTAATGAAATTGACTAGGCTATTTAGTTTTAGGGGTGGAGATGCATTGGTCTATTACTGTTCATTAGGGTCTATCACTATTTACTGAGTGGATTAAATGGGTTGGATGCTGGCACAAAGTCTTTAGGGGTGGAACTGATCTAAGTGACCACGTGCAATATTTATAGATAACAATAATAACAACAATTTTTTCTTTCTTTTTCGTGCTGGGCCATTTTTTCTAAAATGGTGCTAGAGAAACCATCTTTTTAAACTATAATTGTAAATCACGTGATGTGACAATTGATAGTCAGATTATTTCTTTTAAACATTAAAAATGTAATTCAACCATCAACAACTACATCATTTGGTTTACAAAATTTGATCAAAAAAGATGGTCTCCTTAGCATTTTGCTTCTCTGTATAACTTTTAGTCATGACTCTATACCAACTTTCATTTCTAGATTTTAAAATTACACCACGCTACTCGTTAAGTTTGGTTTTGAAAAAACGGAAACCGAAAAAAATTTGAACCATTCACCAAATCAAAACAACAAGGAAAAAGGCAAAAATAAAAAATAAAAAATTTAATTGAATAAGCCGAGTCGAACCAAAATTTCATTTCGATTCGATTCGATTTTTTAGTAGTTCAAAACCGAACTGCACCGAAATACCTTGTAACCATAACAACGTCGTTACATGCTTATGGTAACCCTTAGGGTGCATTTGTTGCACCGGACTGTCTCGGACTGGACTATCTTCAGAGACTAAGCTGAATTGGCTTAGACTAGACTAAACTGGACTAGCTTAGTGAAACGTTTAATGCAGTGTCGGATTAAAAAACTGAACTAACAATAAATTATTATTATTATTATTATATTTTAATTTATTTTCTATTAAAAATATCAAAATGAATATATGGAAAAATAAAAGGGCATAGCCCTCTTCTTCTTCATGAATTGCAGGTGCTTCTGCAACTTGGAGAATTATCAAACTTTCAACCACTCAAATTGATAGGCAAATAGAACCAAATTTGCAATTTAGAAGATGAACAAGCCTCGTTTAAGATTTCTTGAACATTGGTTTCACCCTCACCGACAGTTCCACTCAATTCGTTGGATTCTTGTAAGACTACCATAAGCCTTAATGTAAAAGGTACTAATTAACTAGGTAAGATCATATACCTGCAAAAATTAATGAGTTAATAACAAAACAGGTCAGAATTTACATAAAACAACTTTGTATTTCATTTCATAAAAGGAAAAATAGCAAATAAATTGAAAACAAATGGGTAGCAGTCAAAACCAAAAATCAAAACCCAGAAACCAATCAAATCTGAGAAATCAATCAAACCCACAATTCGATCAAAACCAAAAATCTATCAAAACCCGGTAATAATTTCATGAATCTTCAAAACAAAACTGAAGAAAACTAAGAAGAGAAAGTGGCAGAGGAAGCTGTGATTTACGAGGACGCAGCGGTGGTCCGGGATGGTCCAGCGAGCTTGTCAAGCAGGATGACGAGTCGAGCAGAGTGAGGAGTCGAGTGGGACGACACGAGAGAAAAGAAAGGTCTTAGTAATCCGGTGGTAGTCGAGGGGTCTCGCTAATTAGCAACAACATAGCACCAAGCAAACCCACCTGAAAAAAAAAAATTAAAAAATTGAGGAAAAAAAAAAAAAGCAATCGTCTTTACCTGATGGGAAAGGTTGCAGAAGAATAAGAAACTTGGACAGGATGGAGCAGTTTTCTTCAAGGATTTGATCGGGAAAAAATTATCGGGATGTTAGAAATGATGAGGGAGACCAAATAGGAAGTGGGTATTGGAGACCTTGATGCGTTGTGGGCTGAAACGTTGGGAACTGAAGCTTGCAAAAGCTTGGCATCCATGGCGGTCACGACGATGCTCGAAGCAAATTGCTGCCACGATGCCCATTTCCTCCCCACGATCTGCAAATCAAAGCAAATTCCTTTGAGATCCAAAAGAACGTAGCCCATAACTCGTAGAGGGGCGAAGCAGAGATGAGGAAGATGAAAATGGATGCGGGAGCGAAGAACAAGAAGCAGGGGCGAAGCGAAAGGGGCTAAGCAAAGATGGTTTTAGCAAGTCCCGTGGTTTGTGGAGGGTCTTGCTAAGAACTCCTAGCGAGGCCTCTAATCCACGTGAGTCCCTTTAGTCCCATTTAACTTAGTCCCAATACAAACCAAACATGGGACTAAGTTATTAAGTAGTCCAGTCCAGTCCCAACTAACGAGGTTAAACAAACGCCCCCTTAGTGTATTCCTTTCCTCCTCGTCCTCATCGCTGCAGTTCAATCCTCTCCTAACTTAAGTCATGTTCCTCTGTGCTCTGACGCTCCACGTCCTCAATCTTCAATCCCTCCTCGATGTCGAGATCCCTCCATCGCAACTACTTCACCGCTACTCTTCATCACAGCTTCACCGAAACCTGCCACCCTTTAACCTAACAAGTGTTTGCTGTTGAATATTTTTTTTTTTTTTTTTGGACAAGCCATAGGATAATCCAAATTTATCTAAACTATGAAGAGGGAAATAGTTTGAACACAAGACACAATGAGTTAATTAGGAAGATAATAAATTTCTATATGTGGATCATCATGAAATGAATTTAAGAACAAGAGAAATTGGTTGTTATAGGACAATTACAAATTTTGTTGCTCAAATAGTAAAATCAACACCATCGACATAAGGCTTGACACGTGAAATGTCTCAAATGGCCATGTATAGTAGAACAACACGATCGATCACATTGATTTTCCTGTTACTTTCAGCAAAAAGGATTTGTAATGTCCTACAACCATTTGCCCAGTCCATTGAAAATGAAAAGAGAACCAAAAACGTAATCCAATATCTAGATAGTATATCATACTTTTGAGATTCGAAATCCTAATTGTATGATGTAATCAGTAACTGTGCACATCAGCCATGCATAATTGAGATCATCTTTGTAAACATGAGGTATTGATCACTTATTTAGCAGATCTATCTTTTCTGGAACTAACTGTAACCGGAGAGGCAGAAAGGCGATTATGTTTATCTGAAACCACGGGGTAATCGAGTTTCTTACTATTGTTTTCATCTTTGTAAGACTTTGAAGGAGATGCTGAACCAAATATCTGCACTGTTAGGCTTCCACCTGCAGAGAAACAAAAAGTAAACATGAATAATGCATATCAAAAACAAACAAGTATACATCAACCTACAAGATGCTTGGGGAGCTGAAGTGCGGGGGAAAGGATAATGCATTGGTCCTTCATGATATAACCAAATGAGCTGGCTTAGTCGCGCATACGTTGTACCTCAGATTGGATTAAAATTACCGTAAGAAGTAAGAAGCTCAAAGTTTTGTCCAAAAGGTTGAAAACTTAAAGTCAAAGACACAAGGGAATAATCAGGTTCCACAAGGATGCCGCATGATCCCCATGGGAACTTATAAAGAACTAAGAAGTATGTCAAAGTTTAAGTTTGAATAATGGTACTGAAGCTTGGTAAACTTCTAACCAATATAACGTCTATGTTCAATCCTATATAACCACTGTTTTTTCTACGGTAAAAGGTGGTTCGAACATCTAGCATGAAACTGGATATATCTTTGCTGCTGACAGTTTGTTAAATTCAAAGCATTGCGCTTATTGATGGTATACTTGGTAGTTTACTAATACTAGCTAATGATAAATTGTGAGGTAAAGGTTTTTTTTTATTCCCTCTAAACAGAGGTAAAGAGTACTTTACCTAGCACCAGAGCAGCGCCAACCCAACCAGTAGCACCCCACCTTTCCCCAAGGAGAAACCATGCAAAAGCAGCACCCCAGACCGGCTCCAAACTATAAATTATTGCTGTTTCTGTTGCTGATACATCACGCATTGCGGCCATCTAGAAAAAATACTTTCCATCAAAACTTTAAGCTAAAAAGATGCGTTTCAAAAAAAACAATATTGGAGAGTTTATTTTGTTTCGAAACAGCATAAGT